TTTTTCTTTTGGCCAAAACGTTAACATATCAACTATTAATGTATTTTACTTTTGTTGAGTTCATTCGAGATATGATTTCTCTGTTAGATTTGTGCAACAGAGGAATTAGGCTATCAAAGAGTGGCCTGTTCCCATTTAAACGCTGGAAATAAATAATCTCTGTCAAATCCTCCAAATTTTCAAGTTTCCACTAAAATTTCGCTTAGAACTCTTTAGAAAATTCGATTTGTCACATTTGGTCGTTGTCCGACTTAGCTGAGTGCTCAATCAAAGACTCTCCTAACTAACTATACATCGAATGTTGTCGAGGAATGGAACATCGACAGCGATGAATTGTGTCCTACGGGGGTTTGTGAACAAGTCCCATAACGGGACGATTTGAGTGACGCAGCAGGCCATGAGCTCGATCTCGGCTCGGCTGTCATCCTTTAGCAGATGGGCGCTGGCTGTTCTTTCAACCATTGAAGTTTGCTCTGTTCCACATTTGTCAGTAAGCGCAGGTCCAGATATATAGGAATGGCCTAGATTTTAGGGGAAACGGGGTAATATAGCTGGGAAAAAAATGTTCTGAAAAATCCATTTTAGCTCGCTCCCTATGCGCTCCATTTGGCGATGGTTATTGCTGTGGCGGTGTATGTGATTGCTGGTGCGTTCACTATACGAGAAATTGAGGCCGTTTCTCACCATGACACTGAGGTTTGCCTCCATTATAATGCATGCTTTTCTCTTAAAAAAATGTTTAGTCTATTTTTCCAGGGAACTCGCGCCAAACGAGAAGCACACGAGGTTCGGCATAACGCATGTGAGTAATTATAAATTATAACTAACATAAGACCTTATTACAATTAGTCAGACTAGAAATTTCTGAACTTCTGAAATGGTGTTTAATATGAAACTCGTCAAAAGCAGTCTTGCCAATATGATATTGTAAGTAATCTTTAAGATGTGTGTTTTAATAGAATATTGATTAGACCATTGATTCAACATCCCTGATTTGATTTTCAAAAGCCGCATTGTCTTTTACCCATGTGTGAGTGCAGAGTTACTCATGTGAACAAGTAAATGAATGAATGAACCGAATGAAAGGATAACTGAAAGGATGAATGAATGAATACCTGTGTTAGTCGAATGAAGGGATGAATGAATGGTACGAACACATGCACCTAAATGCATGATGAATGAACGCTAGGAATTAATGAATGAATAAGCGAATGAATGAATTGATAAATGGGCGAATAAGCAATGTATGTATTAATGAGTGGGGAGTAATGAAATGAAATGAACGAATGAATGAATGAATGAATATATATAGTGTATTATAAATACCTTCAAATGGATGAGAAAGATACGAACGAATTTGATTTCTTCTTTACCTTACAACAATTTACTCCTTATTTTTTCCCTTTTCTAAGAACTCAATAATGAAATTGTCACTTTTTTCCCATTTCGTAGTCAATCTACTTGTCATCAAAGAAGCAACTTTTTTCCGCTAAAACTTCATAACATTTACACATCTGCAATGATACTAAGTCGTCATAAAATTGTACTTATTCATTTGAATTTTATTGCAATTTTTTTGCATCCAAGCTCTTTACTCATTACGTACATATTTTCGCAATCCTCGCAGTAAACGATTGCTGATAAAAACTGCTTTTCCCTAAAAA